TTGATGACAAACCGTACCTCCCAATTCTTGTGACACTAGTAGATCTACCAACAACTACAAGGTGTTTTCTCCCTCCATCGAACCCAGCCATGATAAGCTTATGATTCTTTAACAAACTCAACAACAACAAGCGACAGTGTAGGGTTTCTTCCTCTCACTCTTGCCTTTCTCTTTGACAACCCATTACCATTAACAAGCAAGCTTTGTCCCTTAATAAGCTTCATTTTTCCTCTTCAACCTTCCTTCTTTCTCTCTCAATGTCACTGGGCTGCTCACAAGTATGAAAGCTTAGTCCGAGGAGGTCTTCACATTGGCCTCCAACTTCATATACTATGAAGATTTCATGCTTGATGAGTGTTGGTGGAGGTCACCATCATTTGTACCGGCGAGTCTATTTTCATTTTGCTATCTTCAAATCTAGTTTGATTTGGTTTTTGGATTTTTTTTTTCCTGATGAGAATGAAGGGATTACAAGAGGAGGAAGCCAAGGAAGGTGATATATTTTAGTATTTTAATATTATAATTATATTTATATAATAAAAATTATATCATCTTCCTACTTTCATACCAAATTTATTTTTAATGGAAAAATGATGATAAAATTTTCCTAAAATATATAAAAGATAATTTAGTTTTTAGAAAAGTCATAATTTTACTAAAGTTCTTAAGGACCTTTCTATCATTAATAAATTTATATAAATGATTAAATTACCTTTGTTAGAAATAAAATGATTTACAAGTTTTGTTTAAATAATCATAACTTTTCTTCTTATATTCACAATAATACAATAGTAAATCAAGAATTTAACATGTGAAGTTGTAATTTATTATTATATTGATGCGAATATAAAAAAATTATGATTATTTAAATAAAACTTGTTAATTATTTTTGATTATTTATATAAATTGATTAATGATAGAAAAGTCTTCAAAAACTTTAGTGAAATTAAAATATTTTAAAAACTAAATTATTATTTATATAATTTAAAAGAATTTTATTATCATTTTTTTAATAATCTCATTCTTATTCACATTTTCATTCTCATTCACACTTTTATTATATCAAAAATTATTTCCTCATACTAAACGAGGTCATATAGTATCACGTTTACAACCACCCTTAAAACGTGGCGTTAATCTCTGGGCCACCTATGAGGTGTCTTTTTCTTGGAGTGGAATTCTGTCCTCTTCTAACCTTGAAAGTTTCTTTGTTTTCATTAATCCCTCCATTGTGAAAGTCGACTTTTCGTCATTTCCATATCAAAACAGGGGATGATCAGGCCCACCATACGCACTTTAATTAAGTCGATGACCATGTCAAACTATAATTACTAATTTATTACCAATATTAATGAAACAGACAGCTACAATTACCGACCACACATAAGAGAAGTTAAAGCAAGTTAAAGACAAAACGATGAGGCAAAAAGAAGGGGCCAATCTTCCGAAGGAATTCTATACAACAAGTTTGCAAAATCCAGCAAGGATTTTTGTAAATTGTTGACAATGATGACGCGAACCCATTTTGTGGGGCAAATACATGCAATTTAAGCTTGGTTAGGAGCATTCAACCCACCTTTGCAGAAAATTTATACTCCCTCACTCTAAATTATAAGATATTTTTTAAAAAAATTTGTCATCCCAAATATAAAACATTTTAAAAAAATTAAAATTTTATTAAATAAATTTATTTAAATAATATTACTTCTCTCTCTATTTAATGCTAATTAAGGATAGATTTAAGGTTATTAAATAAAGAATTATTTTTAAAAGTTTATATTTTTATTTTAAAAAAATAAGATTGTCAAGTGTATTTAATAAAATTTATTGATATGTAAGATTTTATTTAAAAGTATTTTATAATTTAAGAGGAAAATAGTATATTATAATCTAGAATTACAAAGTAATTTGGCCTCTAAATTATAAGTTTGAAAATGTTTGGGCCCCAAATTCATTTTTTGTGTAATATTTTGTTTAATTTTTAAAAACAGTATAATTTTGCTTGTCATTATTAAAAATTAATTCTAACCATTAGTTGACAAAAAGACTTCAAAAATTATCAAAAAAAGGTCAATAAAGTTACATAAAAGGACATAAATTTATAGACAATAATCTAAAAAAAATAAAGAAAATGATTAAAAAAATTTTATTCATCATTTTATGTAATTTTTGAGGTATTTTTCTATTATTTTTCATTAACTAACAATTAAAGTTTACTTTTGTTAATAAGTTTATAAGTTTTAAATGCTCTTGAATTTCTAGTTTAAACTTTAAAAGTCATATTGTCATTTAACCCTAAAATCTAATAAGAAAAATTGCCCACTAAATACTAGTACTATAATATTTATGTTTTTACATAACTTCCCACTTTTGAGAAGCACTTCTTACTTTTGAGACTGAAGTTGTTGAGTAGATGATTGGGCAAAATAAATTTTCAAATGAATATCCAGAAGCCATTTGAAAATAGGTTTCAAAACGTGCCAGGGGAAGCTTTTAAATGTATACCCAGAATCTTGATAATAATAGTATTGCCCTCAAGAGGATTTGACATTAAAATTATGGATGTGCACGAAACTTTCATTATTTTTTATTTTTTTCTTACTAGATTATATAAATAATATATTTGTTATATAATATATACTTTCAAGTTTCATACTCAGAACTCTTTTTTCGACCAAAAACATTCAGACCATTTTTTGACCAAAAAAAAAACTCAACCTCTAAATAATGTAGATGTGTAATTTCATTTTTCACATTTCACAATATATAATTCAAATAATTTTAAGTTTATCAAATCAATTCTCGAGTCAAAAAAATTTTAGCGCTAACACTTCTAGATTAACACGTCTTCACTTAACTTTAACCTTCTTTTAAAAAATTCTGTTTTTAAAAAGATGATAGTTGTGTAATCATTCACCAAGTCAAGAACAATTAAAGAAACTAAGAAAAAATTATAATTAGCTAGTTAACTAAGATAAGAAAAACTAAAATGTCTGCACTAATATGTCAAGGATGTTATAAATCGTGGGACCGGAGGAGCACCATTTATAGCTCGCCGTTTTTTTTTTTTTTTTGAAATTGAATGCTGTCCGAATACTATTTTTCTCTGTTCCAATGATTTAAAAACTGGATCAACTAGATGATTGAACTGTCAATCAATTTAAATTTTGATTCAGTTAATATATAAAAGTTATTTTGAAGGTTGAGTCAGGTTGGGCTGTTTCAGATCGGGAACTGAATCTATTTTTTAAGAGCCGAATTGTTAAAAAAACTTTTTTATTGAATTTTTTTAAGAAAATGATTAATTTTTTTAATTATTTAATGTTATATTATATCATATGGCTTGTTAAGTCATGATAAACTTAAAATATTTAATTTTTTTAAGTTAAGTATCGATTTTGTATTTATTTTTTATATTTAAATTATTATATGCATCTATAATATTTTTAATTTAATTATTACATCATCGGTTTAACTATTGATCCAACCTGATTATACCATATGAATAGTAAACTACTGACATTTTTAATTTAATATTAAATTCAATTCTAAAAACATTGCTTTGCTCTCAAGAAAAAAAATATTTTAAAAAATTTCTAGTTGAATAACTTAAATTGTTTGGATTTGAGATACCCAAGAAAAATATTTGATACTACTCGTTGTCATTTTTGCCGGAATAACTTAAAATCTTTTTAATCGCTAGAAAAGTTTGGAATAAAATAGATTAAGGAAATTAAAATAAAAAACTAAATTTTTCTTCCTTTCATAATAAGCATAATAAAATTCAATACCATATATTATAAATATAAAAATTATTATACCTTATATAAATTATTAAATTTCATAAATCATGATTTTTAATTTTAAAAATTATATTATCCTTCCTTCTCTTATCAATGTGGTTAACTTATATTCCCATCACATTTTGTCTTTGCCTGTATTTCTTTAATTCATTCAATTTCATATTTTCTATCAACCAAACAGGTGTTTAAGAATTTATGTTTTATTTTGAATGAGAGAAAAAATAGAGAGCACAGAAAATTAGAAAAATATATTTTTAACCCTTATTTTTTCTAAGGAGAATGATAGATAGATCTTGAGGGAATTAATTAATTCAAAGTATCAAACTCCAGAAATTTATAAATTTAATTTGTAATTTTACAATTTTATTATGAGGAATTTGTAATTTATTTTTTTAAATTTTAATATGGTTAACAACAAATAAATTTATTTTACCTATTAAAATTTAGAACACAAACTGTAAATTTATCATAATAAAATTATAAAATTAAGAGTTGAACTTATAAATTTTTAAAATTTAGTACTTTAAAACTTATTTTGAATCAATTAATTTTTTTAGGATTTACCTACCATTCTTCATTTTCTTTTAGTTCTTCCATTGTGATGGAAAACTAAGGGCAGAAACTGTGCTCCCAACTCCCAAGAAAATTTTTCTTTCTAAATTTTTTCTTTTGTTTATTTTTTTTCTCATTTCAAATGAAAGGTGAAAGAACTTCATTTAAGTTGCTTGAGTTCATTTAAGTTACATCAAAACAAGTACATTTTTTCTGTATTTTTTACTTTATAACTAACCTATATTTTTAATGTTTTTAATTCTTTTAAGTTGTAAATCCATGTATTCTATCTAAATTTTTACGTAGTTAATGTATGCGTAGATAATTTAATGAAAATAGAGTACAAAATTAATATATTTGTCACGGAAAGCTCCAAATAATTAATTTAAATTAAATAATCACGCTATTGAAGTGACATTCAAATAATTTAATTAAATATTCTATAATATTTTTGATCAAATTTGATCATGTTTTAATATTTGTTTTTTAAAAATAAAAATAATATTTCAACGACTCTGATTAAATCTGAAAAATGCAGCTGACATTTGGACCGTTAAGATCCTCTAAAGATACGTTCCCCATACAGCCTGCAAATACCAACACCGACCTGGATACCCTCTCTGTACTCAAGTACATTACTCGTCTCTTCCTTATCGTCGCGCTCTCTCTCAAAAGTCCAAAGTACAAAACGACTTCGGTTACATTCTTCTCCTTCAAGAAAACTTGGCTGGCTGGCTAGCTCGCATTCTGTTCATCTGCCTGATTTTTTTTTTCCTCCTTTGTTAATACTTCTTTTTTTCCCCCCTAAGGAATGATGTTCGGTCTCATTTCTAAATTCCCAGAAACTCATTCCCCCTGACTTACGTTACTTGAAGTGGGGTCCAAATTAACGCCACCATTATCAGATTATTTTGCTTCCTTGACAATGCCATGCTGAGAATTACCGAATCTCACCTACTAATTCTTCACCAACTACAAACATTTTGGATGGATTTAGATTTCCCTGAGACCTTTTTTTAAGGCCTCGTAGATTGGATTTTCTCATGGCTCTGAAGGGCGTTTCCATCTGGAGTTGTTCCCAAGCTCCTCAATTGGGTGTTGCAAATTCTCATTCGGGAAATTCTGGGAAGATTGTCAATTTGAGAGGTGACTTTGGGAAATGCCGCAAATGGGAATGCTGTTGTTTGGATGTTTTAGCTCAGAGAGCTACGACTCCCGTTGAAGATGAGAAGCCAACTATGCCAATGGTTGAAATTTCTAGGCCCAGTGATGGGGCTCATGAAAATGACTCCAAGGGGTTTCACAAGGATTTAAACCTGCTTCCTAGTGAGTTATATCTATCCGGTGATTCCTACAATGAACTTTAGCGATTACCATTTTTAAGCTTTAATGGCGTGCAGAGAATTATTTTTCTGATAGCTGGTTCTTAATGGACAACCGCGACTATTGACCTGCATATCTGGAATTAACATTTGGGGAATACTTCTGTGAAGGATAGTTTTATTTTGGCATAGAATTTTGTAGTCGAATGAAGAAATTTCTTAAGATGGAAATGCATATCATATTTAATCACACAAATTTGTTCGCCCACAGGATATTCACATGGTATCACCGTATCAGCATTGAACTGGTTTTGTTTTGCTAGTAATGGTGAACACATTTTAAATATATCCGAGACCTTTCCTTTGTTTTATTGTTAAAGGTTACAGTAAAAATTATAAACTATTTATAGCCCCTCACCAAACAATTTAAAACATTGAATTGAATTCATATCCATATTAGAGCCTTTATGAGCAACTGACTAGGAGTTCTAACGTTGTTTGACCTCATTAAGTTTTAGCATAAGGTATTGTGAGGTATTCTTTGTCTGCACTCTTTTGTAGGTAAAACTACCTCACTTAACAGCTTAATCTTTTGACCTGAAGTGACCATTGACAAAACCCATACAAGAGTAAAAATGTTGCATGTTTCTGTTAACAGATTATGTGTTTATTCAAGAGCTTATTGTAGTTTGCTATCAACCCTCTTGCATGCTCTCAGCTTATGTTTTTTTCTCATCTCTTGACTGCATTTTCAATTATGACTTTGTAAATAATTAATATATGATGATGGAAGAAAAGTCCTTCTGACTAAAAGAAGAAGATCTGAATCATACAGATAGAACTTTGAGAGACAGGAGTGTTGAGATTTTTTTCTTTTTTCTTTTCACTTTACCAGGGGGGATCTAGTTTGCCATGTTCTAAACTTTGTGCTCTCTTTCTCAGTCATCCTCTATCTACTTTGTTCTTTTATCATCTGTTGAATCAAATGTTTGGAGATGAAAAATGGCCGAAAAGAATGATTGGTTGTGATGTTATTGTTTCTGCTTGTATATGAAAGATGAAGATAAATGACAGAGAGACTAAGAACAAATACTTTATCAGAAACATTTAGTGTGTCACAGAGCACTAAATGTTGTTCATGTTTAACTATTTATGTTGCCTGTGGATTTATTTTGGTAATCCAAGTCGTAGTGGTTGTGCTATTTGGAGTTTCTTCATAGTTGCTGTCAAAATTCTTGACTCGATACAATGGCATGGATTCTGTAGGATGTGAACACACATGCTTTGTTTTCTTAACTTCATTTATGAATCTAACCTCAGTGGCAAATTTCAGTTTAGTAATCTTTGTGCCCATAAAACCAATAGATTCGGATACTTAGCTGACCACAATTGTATCATCCAAGTAATATGTAATTAGGATTATGACAGGTCTCATCAAGTTTTGTTTTTGAAGTTAAATGAATAGGTTAAGGGATCATGTAAGAGTCTATAGTTTTATCCCCTAATTATCTCAATTCACTAATAACCACGTGGTCATGCATGCATGCATGCATGCATGGTAACAAAATGATTGTATAATAATGAATAGAGTATACAAATTTTGTGCTACCAATAAATGACTTAATCTATTTCCTTTTTTCCATTACCTCTTGAGAATGATCATGAAACTACTCTATTTGCAGAACCATTGACAGCTAATGATGTTTCTTCTCCTCCAAGTGATGGATCAAAGGTGCGCGTTGCATATCAGGTATGTATATTATGCTTGATAATTTCTTTTCAATTGCAAGATCCATGTCATTATTTCCATTGTTGCTAACTAGGCAAATGCTTCATTTAGGGCATACCTGGAGCATATAGTGAGGATGCAGCTTTGAAGGCATATCCAAAATGTGAGACTGTTCCATGTGATGAATTTGAAGTTGCATTCAAGGTTTCCATACTTGTTTCCCTATCTCTCTACCTTTCTAATTGATAGCTAACTAACCACTGTTCCTGTATTGCTATTATATTCTTTCCTGTAGGCAGTTGAGTTGTGGATAGTGGATAAAGCTGTTCTACCCATTGAAAATTCTGTTGGTGGAAGTATCCACCGTAATTATGATTTGCTTCTTCGCCATAGGCTGCACATTGTTGGAGAGGTGCAGTTGCAAGTTAACCACTGCCTCTTAGGATTGCCTGGTGTGAGAAAGGAGGAGCTGAAACGTGTTGTGAGTCATCCTCAGGTTAGCTGTTATTTTTGCTATTTTCCCGTCTTTTCCAGTTGATTGGGCAGGACTTGATCATGTATAATGCTTCCTAATCTGAACATGCTAGCGGGGTACTTAAGTTCATGCTTTAAGATGGCAGCTATATCAAGCAGAATAATTTATTGGATTAGATCAATTAAGTTATCTTCATTGTTCTGCTGCATAATATTAATTTTTCATTGAAAAACTTGTCAATCTCAATATGTCATTTGTAAAGAGGATCCATTGTTCCCAGACTTTTAAACCATTGCATTTATCATAAAAAAGATTACCTGTTGACAACAAAATGCTCAAGTAGAAGTATTTAATCTTTTTCTGGCATGCAGGCTCTTGCTCAATGTGAGGTGATGCTTAACAACTTAAATGTTATCAGAGTTGGTTCACCTGATACAGCTGGTGCTGCTCAGGTACAACACCAAAAAAATTTTTGGTGCATTGAAAACAAAAAAGTACTTGTATTGTAGAATAGTATGACCTAACACTTAGGATGCTTGAACAGACAGTGGCATCGAATGGCATTAGAGACACTGGAGCTATTGCTAGTGCTAGAGCTGCCAAGCTATATGGCCTAGACATGCTTGCAGAAAATGTCCAGGTTAAATTTTATCTACAGTTTTTGGAAGAGCAGGCTCGTAGAATATGTGGTCTTAGTTTGTTCTTTTCTTTTATTTGTGCTTTTTTTTTCCCAATGCATGCATGCAAGTGTATCAGATGTTATGTCATTTGAACTTGATTTGTTGGTAGCTCTTCATGGAAAATATTCAAAACCATTGCTTGTGTTTCTCGATTATAATTGGATGGCATTTGATTATTTATTTGGTATTTATGTCCTTGTTATCTTTTTAAGTGAGCTGTCATTACTCTTGCCCTTCTAGAATTGAACAAGAAATTCTAATTTCCTTCTATTGGATTGGGTTCTAAAACGAAGCTGATAATATGCCATTCTTGCTTTGGTTACATTTTAATTATGGAATTACTATAACTGTTTCCATTTCTATGCTTTTGGTGCCACTTTGCCAATGCCTAATCATCCCCCCCTTTCTTTATCTGTCATTGTGGATGCTTTTATTGTTCTCAAGAACTGAAGCACCTTTCCCAATCTCTCTCTCTCTCTCTCTCTCTCTCTCTCTCATTGATAATTTTTTTCCCTTGAATTTTTCTATTTCAGAATTGTCTTGATATGAAGTTTGTTTGTTGTTTATGAATTACTTAAATATCTCGACCAAACTAGTCAAATTGTGATATGCATCGTAAAGTGAAAAGTATATTTTTGAATTGTGGTTTTATAAAATGTACCAAATTGAATGATAGCTTGACTTGCTAACAATAACATATATCTATTTGTAATACGCATAAAATACTCAAGATTAAACCTAAGAGTTAAAAGAAGTAACCACACATAAATCATGGATTAGTCTACTAGTCATTAATTCTTTAAATAATCTCAAATAATATCTTTCTTTTTCTTTATATGAGGCATCAATGATACTGATCTATTATTCAACAATGCTATGCCAATTCATTTTTTTTCACACATTTATGAATCACATAGTCACACTAGTCTATCATATTGGCATGAGTGACGGGATATGGTCAATTCAGTCATCAATTCATATTATTAGCTTCATGTCTCACTATGAATCATATGATTTCAACTGTAAATCATACAATTTAAAACTGCTTCTAATTCATATTGTTGATTTTGTGACACATTACAAATAATAATATTTGAATTGTAAAGGGAAAAGATGATTATCAGTCTCTATAGTTTCATCAAGTTTTGTTTTTAGTCACTGTAATTTTTTCAGTGTTTTCAATCCCTATAGGTTTTGGAAAAATTAGGTGATGTTTGTTTTTCAAGTTCCAATAGTTTCAATTTTTTCAGTTTCTTTAGTCTCTATAAGGACTGAAAATACTGGGGAAAAAAAAATTATAGAGATTAAAAGCAAAATCTAATGAAACTATAAGGAGATTATGTTTTCCCAATTGTAAATTTATCATTTTTATTACTATGACCTCAGCACTAGGTGGCTGTGCCAGTCATAAATGAGTATATTATTTCCTTTCATACCTTTATAATTTTTATTAAAAAGATGGCAGTTGTGATTTTTGCCAGATCAAAATTGAACTGACTATTTGCCATCTATTTAGGATGATGATGAGAATATTTCACGTTTTCTGATCCTTGCAAGGGAGCCTGTAATTCCAGGAACTGACAGACGTTATAAGGTATAAGAGAATTAGTTTCTTATATGCGCATTTCTATGAATTTCCTGATGAATTTATGGGCCCCCCCTCCCCCACCCTTTCAGACTAGCATTGTTTTTAGTCTGGAAGAAGGGCCTGGTGTCCTTTTCAAAGCTTTGGCAGTTTTTGCTTTGAGGGACATTAATTTGTCAAAGGTGAGCTATAATAAAACCTGGTTTTCCTATTTTGAATTTGAATTTTGAAACACACATTCGATCAGTTGTTTCTGGTATAATTTCAGATAGAGAGCCGTCCACAGCTACAGCGCCCATTAAGGGTAGTTGATGATTCAAATCAAGGGAGAGCCAAGTGAGTAGTGGATTTTCACCTCAATTTAGATTTTCAATGGTAGAATTAAGTATTTAAATTGAGTTCAGATGCAGTGGAGTCCATGATTTGTAGATAACTAGATCACTTTATTTATCCATATTACTAGATGGTCAAGTATAATAATAATAAGGGTTTACTCTGGAAAAATAAATCATATTTCTAACTCCTTGGTTCAGAGATAGGAAAGAAATAAATGTTAAGAGACTGGGGTTTGGTTTTACTTTATGAATATGATCTGCTGATTTAAATGGAAAGTGTGCTGTGCAACTTTTATGATTCAACTCTTGTGGTGGCAGGTACTTCGATTACCTCTTCTTCATCGACTTCGAAGCTTCTCTGGCAGAACCTCGTGCGCAATTTGCTTTAGGACATTTGCAGGTCAGCCTATTATATCTTGAGGGCTAGAATTTAGTTTTCGTAATTTGTGGGGTCTTGCACGATTGATGTTAATCTTTATTTTTTAATTGCCTGAACTTTTTGTTCATCAATGAAATTGACTTTTGTGGTGAATTCTTTTGCAATTTTATTACCCATTCTAAATCTGGATTAGGTTGTCTGATTTTTCATTAATCAAGAATTTATCTACACTCCTTTTAATTCCTCCTATTTTCTATACTTGCATTCGTTTTCTTTTTTTCTTTTTTTGGTAATAATGGTGCAAGTGCTGGATGTCCTTGACTGACATATAATGTGTAGAACAAATTTGTCAGCCTCCTGCCATCGAGTATTGTGGCGTTCAACTTCATGAAGTTTATGGCTGAACCAGAGATTTACAATCACAGAAAATAACAGACTTTGAACCAAAAGCATATTGTAAATTGTTTCTGAGGAATCAGCAGTCAGCATGACAGTTAGAAAAGCTACACAATATTGGAACTTTTTCTGACGTTAGTTACATTATACATTCTGAAACTTAACTATGATCAGAACTTGACACTTGACAGTCTTAAGATGTAAGTGTATTGACTTAATTTATAACTTAAGCGATCGCTTTTTTTTTTTTTTTATTATTTCAGGAATTTTCAAGTTTTCTTCGTGTTCTTGGTTGTTATCCTATGGATACAGTATGATTGAGGCTGAATGCCTGAACAAGGAGTAGAAGTCCATGCTGTAAATTTTACTGATCTGGGCAAAAGCCATTACCATTGACCACCAGATGTTCTTCCTGAATCAGAGTGAAGTGGAACCGATACAAGGCGTAAAAGCTGATACAGAAGGTAGAAAGTTTCTATATTTGACTTTTAGTTTAGAGCATTGATTTATATTATAAATTCTCATATATTTTAAAGATTCGCTTTCAGAACTTGTTCTCGGCAGCCAAACCAAACTTCATTTGTAGGATAATGCATGTATTTTCCATAAAAAATGCTTGCAATCAGGCATGTTAATTTTCATTTACTTAATATTTAATTCTCGGAGAGCATACAAAAAGTGGAAACAAAAGAACGCGAGGGACAAACGTGAAAGATCGTGTGAAATAAAAGTATATTTTAGCGTCTGCAGTTTGCAATTGCATAAAGTGAAATAGCATCAGCGATTCAGTATTCAAAGTCTCAACATATGCATTTTACCTGATTTAAGATAAAAGACAGACTAATCATTTTTTTTTTTTTGGGTACAGACAGATTAATCATCTGAGGTTATTGAGTCTGTTCCTAGTAATTTTCTAAGAACAGCACGTACTTAGCTGTGCCAATCAAATCATCCATCAATGTATGTCTAGAACGTATTTTTCCGTCTATTTAGGATCAACTTATATCTTGGAACCTCTGCCTCACTAGTGATGTTGGTCTTGGGATTTTTATTTTATTTTTATATTTTTCCTTTTCGGCTCCTCTTTCTTTTTCTCAAGACCCGAACTAGTTCTAAAGAATCTAATTAGTTTATTTTCTAATGAAATATGTTTATTATTTATGACTTTTCTCCTCAACAATTGTGATTTTTTTGGCCATGACAGCTATTGCAACAATAATTAACGATTAATAAAAATAAGGTTTAGGTGGGATACTTAATCTTGACCACTTTTCTTGTTACATTAATTAAAAAAAAATGGAATACTTGAAAACAACTCATTCAAGAGCTTGCCACTCAGCAATGTCTTGTAACATGGCATGTAAATTCCTTGGTAGGTGAGTTTATGGGTTCAACCTTGTTTGTAATTTCAAGTTATGAGTGCTTGTTTCTCTAACACTCTTGTAACTCTTTTCCGTTCAAATTGTAAAAAATTTCTAATCATGTTTCACATATTAATGAAAGTAATTTTTTTTTTTTTTACTTCTATGAAAGAATGACTCGTCTTTCTTATTTTCTCCTTAATCATGTTATTATGAAGAGTGAGAAGGAGTGTTTAATCAAATCATATTTTGCATGCTTATACTAGTTTAACATAAGGGTAAATTTTAAAAATAATTTCAGTAAGTATCAATTGTCACATATAGTTTCGATCAAATTTAGTTGAAAAGAAATGTCGAACAACTTAGATCGAAGAGTACCGATGAGCACATCATTTATTAGGTTTTGTGAAATAATAATGAAAAGGATTTATATGAGACAAGATAAACAATTGGAAGCAATGACAAGAATGGAATCGAAATGAGCGGCATGCTTTTTATGAGTGGAATTTTGGTGCATCTCAGAATTTTCTGTCGCTGTTGCAATTCCAAGTCTCTTTCTCTCACCCTTTGGCCTCTCCCAAGAGTTACAACTTTTCTTTATGCCCCTTCTTGTTTATGCTTCTTAAATTCACTCTATTTTCATCATAAATTCATTCTTTAGGATCAAATTCTAACAATATTTTGTATACTTTTTTTATTAAATACTTATCTCGGATTCTAATTTATATTGCATCATCTTCAATTTACTCTAAAAAAAATTTCAATTTGATTTTCAAAACATCATCCTAAAAAAAAAATGGAAAACAGAGGAATGGAAAACAGACGATGTGAGGCTTTTTGGTATCGGGCTCCAGTGCCTCTATGGACCATATCGATCATAAGCTTCCAACAACCATTTTTAAAAAATGCACGTGGACCAGATTCCACTGTTTAAAGAACACCATGCTACATAAAAAAATAAAATCGAGAATATGCCAGTTTCACAATTTTGGCTTTTCATCACTGATATTTTATATACTATTTCATTTAAAACTATCATCATTTTTCTAATCCACACTTGATCTATGACATAGAAACCAACTCTCTAATTCATAGTTAACCATAAAATTACCTTGTCTTTTGCTTAAAGTTATTTTCCTATGACTGTAGTCCCATAGAATAATATTTTGTGACAAACACGCCAGGGGTCTATTTGATCGGAGGGTAATGGAGGAGAGATAAAATTCTAATGAGTTTTTTAAAGCAAAAAAAAAAATCTAAGGAGTTTGATTTTAAAAAAATTAGAGAAGTGAAGTTAAAATATTTTAATAAATTTTCTTTACTCTTTTAATTAAATCTTTTTTATTAAAATTTTATGTCACCAACATAATGTAAGAGACAATAATATCACCACAATTGTGTATCTTTTGTTATGAAAATACATGGAAATGCCATTTGCATCCAATCATAATGACATCAAAGCCTTCTTATAAAACACACTGTTTTGAGTTTATAATTTTGTAGCCAATGACATGTAAGTTTTTTCTTTTTTTGGAATAAAAACATGGACAAAACCATGCAAGGGTTACAAGTGTCAAGATATATCAGAATTCAAGATGATCCTACATCTATGGGTGGATTACATTTTCCTCATATTTTATTATAGATCTTTATATTTTTTTTAGTATTTTAGGTTCATATATTTTTATTTTTTAATATTTTAGATCTTTAAATGAATAAAGCATACAAACTTAAAACATCGACAAAAAAAATATAGAGACATATAATAAAATATGAGTAAAATGTAAAAACGTACAATTATGTTTTTTCTATTAAAAATTAAAAATAATTTAAAAAATAAATAGATACAAATAATTTAAAAAATAAATAGAAACAACTTAACCATAGTGGGTCACTTCGGTTTTGGAAGCTTGGTGGCCTTTTAAACATAAATTTTCTTAACTTTAAAAAATGACCAATTTCAGATTAAAAATTAAAAAAAGAAGAGGCAGAGCCGTAGAAGAATCCGGGAAATGACTGAGCCGCTCTTGCCACCTCAAACCTCGCCGCCTGACCTGACCTGACCTGACGGAAGCCATGAGCCATGGGTTTTCTCTCACCCAATGATCTTTTGCCAGGCAAGCACAACCCCCTTCCCCAAAATTGCGTCCAGGTTCAATCAACCTCAGACGCATAAGCTCTGCTTCCTCTTTTTATAGAGAGCAGCCAATCCTTCCCACGCATTACACAGAACCGAACACCGATTTCAATTCGTTGAGATTTCAATCATGGCGCTTGCTGTTACCTCTTCTTCTTCTTCATCCGCGGTTTCTAATTCAAGTTTCCCGCGTTTCAGTTCTTCCTCTGAGCCTAAAGGTAATAATCGTTTTTCGTCCAAAGGAGAAAATTTTCGGAATCAATTGCTTGTTAATGGTGGGAGTTTTCATTAGTTAGATGCGTAGCATTGGGTTTTAATGCGTTAATTTCCACATTTCAGCCTCGCAATTTGGCTCTTTTTGGATTTTGGATAAACCGCATGTTTCATCCGGGGCTGTGAATTTGTCACAAAGACATGGCCTGGTGAAACCTGTACATGCCGAACCTCAACGGAAGGATTCAGTTGTGCCCCTTGCAGCAGCTATCGTTGCTCCTGGTAGTTGTCTTGTGCTGTATATTTATACTTAATTTTCAATGAAAAGTTTACGGGAAATGATTCCTTGTAGAAATCAACTTTAACCAATTCGAATGTGCTGACCATTTTCTGTGCGTGATTTGCAGAGGTAGATGGCAAAGAGTTAGATTATGAGCAATTAGCTTCAGACCTTGAAAATGCCTCCCCTCTTGAAATAATGGATACGGCCTTGGAACAATTTGGCAACGACATAGCTATTGCTTTCAGGTGGCTATTACAATCCATTTGGTTCTGATTATGAATTTTTCAAAAAATTGCCGGTCATTCGATGAATATTGTCCTATTTTCAGCTCTCTGATCATGTCAATACTGTTGAAAATTACCTTCCTACGTTATCTTTTATCATTATTAATATTCAAACTTGCTGGCTAGTTGAAGTAGCCTCGTTGGTAAAAATTCTTTCTTGTAATCTAAATTCTATTGATGGCAACTGTTGAGTTAAAAATTCGCAGCTTTTTCTTGGTGAATGAATTATCTCTTTTTCATGAAGTAGTTTTATATCTACCTAAGATCTGCTTGGTGGCTTCTGTTTCTAAAAAAAATATGCTAATTATATTTCAGTTGTGACTGATTGAGAACTGCAGATGCTTATAAATCTATGTAGTTACAGAATTTCTCAACCTGTTATCTAGATTGTAATGATAAGCTTTTCATTTGCAGTGGTGCCGAAGACGTAGCTTTAATTGAGTATGCACATTTGACGGGCCGCCCCTTCAGGGTGTTCAGTCTGGACACTGGAAGACTGAACCCAGAAACTTATAGGCTTTTTGATGCAGTTGAGAAGCATTACAATATTCACATTGAGTACATGTTCCCAGATGCAGTTGAGGTTCAGGCATTGGTAAGAAGTAAGGGGCTCTTCTCATTCTATGAGGATGGCCACCAAGAGTGCTGCCGAGTGAGGAAGGTAAGACCCTTACGGAGAGCCCTTAAGGGCCTCAGGGCATGGATCACTGGGCAAAGGAAAGATCAATCCCCTGGAACAAGGTCCGAGATCCCTGTTGTTCAGGTTGATCCAGTTTTTGAAGGACTGGATGGTGGAATCGGCAGCCTGGTAAAGTGGAACCCGGTGGCTAACGTGAAAGGTCATGACATATGGAACTTCCTTAGGACCATGAATGTGCCTGTTAATGAATTACATTCACAAGGATACGTTTCAATTGGTTGTGAGCCATGCACAAGGCCAGTTTTACCTGGGCAACATGAAAGGGAGGGAAGGTGGTGGTGGGAAGATGCCAAAGCCAAGGAGTGTGGTCTTCACAAAGGAAATATCAAACAGGAAGATGGTGCCCAGTTTGGTGGGAATGGAAATGGCACTGCCCATGCAAATGCCACAGTGGCAGACATTTTTAACTCCCAGAGTGTGGTCAGCTTGAGCAGGACCGGAATCGAGAATCTGGTGAAATTGGAGATCCGAAAAGAGCCATGGCTTGTTGTGCTTTATGCACCATGGTGCCCCTTCTGCCAGGTATACTTTTTTTCCCAAAGCATTCCATTCTATTAAAGTCTATCTTACTCTGGTTGATTTAGAAATTAGAATCAAGTTTTCATTGTGTGTTGATAATTTTATTTCGAATTCCAACAGGCCATGGAGGAATCCTACGTTGACTTGGCAGAGAAGTTGGAAGGATCAGGTATTAAGGTTGGCAAGTTCAGAGCAGACGGAGAGCACAAGGATTTTGCAAAACAACAACTGGGGCTAGGAAGCTTCCCCACGATATTGTTCTTCCCAAAACATTGTTCTCGGCCTATAAAATACCCTTCTGAGAAGAGAGACGTTGATTCATTGATGGCCTTTGTTAATGCCCTGCGATAATGAATATCTAATCAATCAATGAACCGTTGATTGTTTGTGTTTTCATTTCAACCGAAGATACATGTGCAACTTTGCCTCGCATAGCATTGATAGTCATCCATTAAGAGATTTTTGGTGACTCGTTATGAAGTGGGAAGGGCAAGTTTTGACTCAAATTTAGGAAAAGAAATGGGTTGCGTTTATGTATATTTCTAGATGAGTTCTCTCAATGTTTGATGGTAGCACGTATTCGGCAAAGAGGAGCTTTTATTCCTGCTCTCTAAATAAATGGTCTTTTTAACATTACCCTTCTTGCTCTATTATAATACTGTCAAGTAATTGGATGAGTCATATAGACTCTGTTATTGAGGGAAGATTGCACACTACATCTTAAAGAGATGAATGATACTTCCATAAAAACATCAAAGGCAAAATTCAAAGTATTTATAGTATCAGAACTTACACACAAAAATAAAATACAAAGGTAAATGACACTTTACTACTTTGGAAGTGTAGACAAAAATTGAAGCTACTGCTACTTTCCCTCCTGTGAATACTACAAAAACTGGGTTGTCGATTTCACTTTTGTTTAGAGACATTATAGTCAGGCGAAAAAAAAGTTGAAAACATCATGGACGATGAAGGGAATTTATTTGAATTCGAATATGATGCTACTAGTTCGAACTTGGAAAACAGCATTTTTTGTGCCATGATATCATTGGTTATGACGCGGAACCTTGTGCTTGGTCAAATAAAGGAATTGCGATCCATACGGCGGTTGAGACTTGGGAGCAGGACTTTTTTTTTTTTTTTGGTGGCGGGCTGAACCTTAAAGAATTAAGATATTTAATTATGTAATTGAGAAATCATCATGGAGTGTTGTATTGTGGTCCAAGTAGGGTGGTTGCAGGCTTGTAGCGATTTCAATCCGCAGACTGATAAAAGGAGAAGCGAGTGATTGACTTGGCTATTCAAATCCTGCCTTCATTTTTTTTTTCCGGGGTAGCATCCTGCCTTTATATTCAGTATAGTACTATTATTCAAATTATCCTTACATATTCCTGCCAAAAAAAAAAAAAATTACCCTTACATATTTAAATCATACTGTTTTCTGAACTTTCATACGCTTCATATTCGCATGTACTCATGTTTTCTTACGACGCTCATGCTGGATCGGGAAATTTTCCCCCCTTGAGCAATCATGAGGAAACACAACATAATTTCCTCAAACTTCCTCGTATTTTTATTATAAGACATCTTTTATTTATCAACAAAAAAAAAGAGGATTTTTTGGATCTTAGTATTAAGGAATATAAAGAATTATTCTCTCCATTAAAAAATATAAGATATTTTAGTTTTTTGAGATGTAATTATTATCTTTTTTTTAAGTATCTCTATTAATAAATATTTATATGATTTTTAATAGAAATAAATATGAAAAGATAGGATTAGTTTAAAGTAGGTAACTACTTTATTGGAGGGTAAGATTTGATTAAAAATGCTTTACAATTTTTAATGAAGAGAGTATTATTTATTATCATCTTTCAATTTTATCTTTACTGATTTTATTACTTATTGTATACTACACATTTCTTTCTTTTTATTTTTATTTTAAATTTTAATAGGGTTTCATATATTTCCTTCCTTAAATATTACAAAGCACTTTTAACTAATTTTTATCTTTTAATAAATTAGTTAATAATTTTAAAATTATACATTCTTTTCATGTTATCTTTATTTAATAAATTGTCTAAATTAGAAAATGTTATTAATTTTTCCCTTCGATCTTTATTGTAAGATATTTTTAACCATTTCATACATATTAAGTAACATTAGTTTTTTCTTGATATAATAAAAAAATAATATGTATTTTTATTTTTACCCTTAATGTTAAATAATAATTTAACTATATTAAATATATTCACGTTAATAAAAAAAGAATAAAATTGAACAGAGTAATTTAATTATTACAAAATATTTTATATTTTAAATTAAAAATTATTTTTAAACTAAAAGGTTAACTGGAGGGAGTATACTTCTAATTAAGAGCAATTTTTAAAAAATAATACTTCTCTTCTTTTAAAATATAAGGCGTTTCTAAATGAATTGAATGTTAAAAAATGTAAGGTATTTTTAATTTTTTAAAATATAATTATTATTTTTTTAAAAAATATCTTTATTAATAAATAATTTTATATTTATTATAAGATGATTAACAGAAATAAATATAAAAAATATTTTATATTTTTAAATAAAAAAAGTATTAATTACATTTTAAAAAAAATTAAAAATCATATTTTTGTCTTGACCACTTTTATCACCGAAAAGTCCGCCCTCACAGTGGGAAAAAGTGGGTCTGGATCCCCTCAGCATCTTTCCCTCAACGTCCCTCAGAAGCATCTTCATCTACACCTTCCAATCCGTCTAATGTCTCTTCTCTGGCCATGTTATCCCACGTTGCAGCAACCAAAAACTTTGGATCTGTTTGATATGCTTAAATTATTTATAATTATTTTTGCTGAAGAAAATGCCCACATTTAATATTTACAATATTTTAAATAGAATTGTCTTCAATAAAAAAATACCTATAAAAAATAAAAAATTATTTATAATTAAATTTTATTAAAATATTAAAATAAGTAAATAGGTTTGCACGGCCTACAACCTAATTTATTTAAAACTTGTCCTGACCTATTTAACAAATATCTATTTTAAAACAATCTATAGAATAAATTTTTTAAAAAAGTTTTGAAAACAAAAAGTGACAAAAAATATGTTTGCCTATTTAAACCATCTAGTTTATGTAATCAAATTATTTATAATTAAATTTTACTAAAAAGCTTAACAAGGATATGTAGTTTAGCCTATCTAAAATTTTGATATGACCTATTTAACAAAAATATGATTGAAAAAAATTTGCAGAGTAATTTTTTTAAAAAAATTTAAAAACAAAAAAGTGAAAAAAATATGTTTAAATTATTATTATAAAAAAAATATCCAAATTAATAAAATAAATTACAAAATAATTATTTTTTTCAAATTTTAATTATTTTAACATGAGATAACATGGCAATGCATGGAACATTGGATGATCGTTTTTTGGCCAAAGAATTGGATGAATTGAAAGGAATTTTTTTCAATTTGCATGGCATAAAAGTACTTAACATCGCGCGGACACGAATGATGAAAAATTTATTTGAGTTGACTTATTTAATATTCAATTAATAAATCAAATTATTACAAGCACCCAAAGCATATCAAAACCACATTGGTTATCATGAAGGGGGATCCCTTTTTAGCATCTTTTGAAAGTGACAAAACCAATGGCTTTATTCTTTCTGAGTGGTGGTTCAACAGGCATATATCACCCCTTCTTTTTAACCGACGAAAAAGAGTTTATATTTTTTGAAAGCAAGTGATGGGTCATATCATCTCTTTTTATCTTTTCTAACATTAGGCGAAGCAAATCTCATTCATTTTGATCACTTTTCTGATTATTGTAAGATTCAGAGTGGCAAGTGAGTTCAACTGTTTTTTTTTTTTTTTTAGTGGAGTCATCATGTCGATCTGACATATTTAAAGGATGTGCATGTATCAATATCATTAATATAGCAATGCAAAATATAAAAATTTTAACAAATCATAGTGACAAAAAAGTCATAATTTTTAAACTCTATAAAATACATCAAACTTGATTAGAATCAATGTTCAATCCTCCCTACTGTACTGTGGATGCGTTGATTTGGGAGGCACACGTAATTCTGTCTTGGTGGTTCAGCATGTGTCTTGCAAAAATTATATGCTCATGACGAGGCCAGATGCTCCTTCATACCCACCCATACAGGGGAATGACACTTCAGGACCAATACCTCAATTTAATTTTGATTTTGAGATAAAAAAATTTTAAGACTTTGATAAAGGACTCTTGGTCCTTAATAATGATACAAAATTACATAATTATCTTTCTCCAATTTGTTTATTTTAAATTTTGCAAAATCAGTTGAAATTTATTTGCACGGTGGGTAAAAAATTGCATAGCCAATTGTGTTTGTGTCTGTTTTGTGGGGAACATTGTCTTGTTGTTCCTTGTTCTGTGCGTGCCATTTGCAATGTTTTCTCCGTGATGTCAACGTGTTTAGTTTGGTACGAGTCCAGAACCAAAGTATCCTCCAGCCATTGAACACTAGGATTAAATCATTTACAATACTATGAATACATGATGAATAAATAATAGAATAAAAGGGCAAGAACACCCATGAAATTGTCGACTAAGAACATTCAATAACTCATAGTAAAAAAATTGATAAAAATACTCATAATGTTATCTTACTTAATGCAAGAGTGATCAATTCATTAGATACTTCAAACGTTAACCATTTATCATACACCTAAGCTAATGTTGGCTATTTTTTTGGCTGATGTAGACTAAAAAGTGTCAAAAAATACCAATGAAATCATCAGTTAGGGACATTTAGTAGCTTAAAATGAAAAAAAAAAAGATAAAAATACCCATAACTTTACTTTAGTAGGTATAACAGTAATCAATCTGTCAAATCCCTCAAACATTGATCATTTAGTTGACATCTAAGCAGAATTTGACAACTTTTTTGTCGAAGTGGACCAAAAAATATTTTAGGTGAAATTCTATGAAGGTTGATCAATTATTGTATGATGATGAGTTTTCACTTAAGGCTTTGATTTTGACAGTGAAAAAATATCATTTTGACTTAATAATAGGTTAAATTCCTCTCTTCTTTAAAATTCTTGCACCATTGAAGCTTTTTCTTAATGATCTGTATCAATAAAGGATGTTCCTTGTAGATTAATTTCCTTTCCAACATTATTTGCAATGTTGCATCTCTTTTTGGTTAGCTCAGCAGCTTAGGTTTAATGCCTAGTTGAGAGGGTTTTCAAAAATCATGCTTAATTGTCAAAAAAATTTTCAAGTAGCCTTCACCCAAGAAATGTTTGAAATCTCTATTAAGAGTATCACCGAATGGAAAGAAACCACATGGCATAAATTTTGACAGATCCATTATTGCACATATTAAAGTAACGTTATGAAAATTCCTGCATCTTTTTTTACTTTAGGCTACTAAATGCTCTTGGCCAATAACTTTAGTGAATAAAATGGTCAATGTTTGCTTAAATATCAGCCAAACAGTTAACGTATGAGGAATTTAATGGGTTGGTCACTCTCGTACTAACTTAAGTAATGTTATGGGGTTTTTTTCCTTACTTTAAGCTATTGGATAATCTTGCCTAATGAATTTGTGATTATTTTTGCCCCTTTGTTCTAAATAATATGTAAACATGCACATTTTTAATAGTTAGTGCATATTTTAGACTCTAAAAAATGCTAACCAGGAAGATACTTAAATCTTAGGGAATCCAGAGTTGACCTGTTCTTTTTTTTTTAATACAAGAGGAAGCAAGCTTGAAGAGAGCACTAGCCCTCACAAAATAGAAAAGAACCTAGAGACTACAAATAAAAAGGATTAAGATCCTACACAATACATATTTTGCAAAATACTACTACAGCTTAAAGGTATGGAATAGACAATGACAATATTTAGCCTTACACCATAAGCAAATTTAGCAAGAAGGTCTGCAACTTTAAGGTTCTCTCTATAGGCGTGGGAAATATGAATGTCCCAATCCTAAAAAATGATCTCCCTAATATGCTCTAGGATGTCTCTTAAATTCTGCCCAGCTCTTGCACCCCTTATCAACATATTAATGGCCTCTAATAAATTAGAAAAAAGCTGAGCTTTCGAATATTCTAACATCTTGTAGATTTCCAGACTTGTTCTGATTACTATAATTTCAATAGTGACAATGTTTTAGTCCTAATTCCTTTTGAAACGTTTGATCTACTCACCATTTGATTGCTGATCTCAGCGCCATATGCCACTCTTTGCACACTAATGATAGAAGCATTGACATTAGCCTGAGCATAATCTTAAGGCGAAGGATACCATTTAGGATGATAAAACATCAATGGATGAAAGATTTTATGCTTTAACTTGCCATTAGTTGAATCTTCCATTAGTTGTACGAGAGAAGCATGTATAATCTCTCTAGTTGATAAAGCTCACTCACTAAAGACCTTTTTGTACCTCATAGTCCATAAAGTCTAGCAAATTATACTAAAGATTTTGACTTAAGGCCATTGTTGAAAAAGACCTCTTCGAGGGTTGTCATGTGAGTTTCTTTCGAGCCATACAAGTAAATCACCATAAAAGAAACTTTGACACATGTTAAGATTAATAAAGTGATAGCAAACATATTTAGTTCTCTCACAGTAACGAAGGATGTGTATAATATCTTCCTTACTTCCACGCTCAAAGGACACATATTGTATATGGTTATGCCTCTCTTAGCTCTGAGTGAATTGGAAGGGATTCTCTCATGAGATACTTGCGAAAGGAAAGTTTTAACTTTCTCGAGAATAGGCTATCGCCATAATTTAACTTACCCAGAGTCTGTTTAGGGATTTTTTCAATCTTTGAATGAACTCATAAGCTAATTTTACATATAAACTACCATCAAGTGATCCTATCCAACTATACATGTCATTACCTGCAGATATTGGGGGAATGATTTTGTTCAACTCATTAATGACATTTTGGGGTAGACATCTAATCCATTTAGTAATGTCTCACCTACCATCTTTTGTGACAAAATCCCTGACCAAAGCACACGGATTACCAATGTTACTTTTGTTAGTGGCATAAGTTATAAGAGGTTGGATGAGAGTCATCCACAAATCCCACTAAAATCTAGTGTTGTTGCCACTAACAATTTTTCTCTTGACTCCCCTAGAAAAATCATCCCACACTGCAACAATGCTTTTCCAAGGGTAAGAATAGTAGCGTTTCTAGGATATATTCATGTGACCCCCTATCACATTTATATTTGATTTTGAGGCATTTTACCCAAAGGCAATTAACACATCTTAAATATGAAAGCTATATTTTGTCTATAGAGTTCTTTAAATCCTAAACCACCCTCTCTTTTACTTTTTTTAACTTTATCCCAAGCAATAGGTGGAGTTTTCTAGACACATTAAATTAATTTCACAAAAAATTTCTACTAATCCTCTCAATCTCGTGAACGATACCTTTTATGAATAAGCATTAATTGCGTGCGGTAGCTAGGAATGGCAAATAGGATAGATTTAATAAAAACACTTCTACCCACCAAATTAAGGAAGTTACCTTTTCAAAAGGACAATTTATTCCTCACCTTGCTCACAAATGGGTTGAAAAGGAGCTTTGGTAGCTCTGGTGCAAAGGAGGGGAGCACCAAAATATTTTTTAAAATCACTAGTGAGACCTATGACTACATTGTGACACAGTTTCATAGCCCTGTTCAAGTTCATACTAGCAAAACAAAACACTTTTGATTTACTTAAATTAACTTTGTGACCTGAAACACCACAAAATTGAGTATGACTCTCTTTATCACCTCCATTTACTCACTCGAAGCTTCAAAATATTAAAAAAAAAAACAAAGAAGCAGGTCATTAGCAAAAAAAGAGTTGACCTTATTCACATGTTAAATAGATAGGTTAACTGACAAACTCAGTATGAAGTTAGACGTATTACAAATAGAAATGAAATAAAAATAAGGTTAAGAAAAATCAATAAAATCTAATTTATTAGGAACATTTACAAACTAAAATAAGAGTTACTGTAAAACATAGCTCACTTTTTTTTTCCGTCTGAAATTTTTAATAATAAGTTGAGAAAATCGAAGCAAGAAAAGCTGGTTTAAAAGAGCATGGAAATAAATGGACTTTAGAGAAGGTTGAATCCAGCAAGCAAGGATAGAAAACCGTGTGGTTGGATCCATGGAGGCCAGGCTGTAGAGTCAAATCCGGAATAGCACTGTCTGAGCACCTTCTTCAATAAAAGCCTCCACACCTTGTAATCGCCTTCCACCTCACCAAAACTCTTTTCAAAAGTCCTTCCTTTTCCTCCCATCCCCTTATCATCTAATCAATTCCCCTGGTAAATTCCTCCACTTGAATTTTAGAGGTAAGTACTCTTTTTACCCATATTTATATTTATAAATTATTTTTAATATATTTTATTGAAGTTAAAAAATTAAAATTATTACATCTTTTTAACTTTATCTTTATTAAATATTTTAGATGATCCAATTCTATTTATAAACTTTTACATATTTAATTAGAATTAAAAGAAAATTTTAATACCCATCAACTCTTTCTAAAATTTTAATAAATTTTTAATTTTATTCTTATCAAATATATATTTTTTTAGATGAAAAATTATACATACTTTAATTTTATAAGATAAAATTTTGTGATAAAAAATCAATGACATGTTTTACAAAAAGGACAAAAAATATTTGCTCTACCTTATAAATATGACTAAAAAGTATATAATTTAATAACACATTTTTGCCTACCAACATTTAATATAAAATATAAAAATATATGATCAAAAATAATCATATGTATACCTTATAAATAAATAAAAATTCCTTTCTCTCTTTTAAATGGGAAAGAGGGAGTATATAAATCAATAAAGATTGGTGAGTTGGTAAGAATTTAATAGTTATATATTCAAATTTCATTATCGATGTGAGAATTTTATCGAGAATGATACATAAATACTTTTTAGAAAATATAACTTTAAATTTTTACACTTTATTTATATTTTTTTATTAATTCTTATACTTTTTTTATATTTTAAATCCTTACACTTTTATTTTTTACTGATTTAAGTCCCTTTATAAGTAAAATGTAGGGATTTTAGAGGAATTAAAATAATAAAAAATACAAAGACTTAAATTATCCAAAAAATACAAAAAATTTATAATAAAATATTAATAAAGTATAAAAATTTAAAATTATATTTTTCTCATACTTCTTAAATCTTAAAATACTTCCTGACCTTGGTTTTAATATGTAACTCACCTAAATTTTTTTATTAAAAAAAGGAGTATAATTTGTCCTTTTGAAATTGATTGCCGTGGGCTCCCCGCCGAGGTTAACTCAGACAATACACACCACAACCACAAGAAACACGGTTTGTCTTGTAGCACCCAAAGATGCGTAAAGCTCTCCCAACCAAGTCACTATTCACACTTTCAGGTCTCCATTACTTTTGAAGAGTCTTCTCCACTTCTCTCCGATCGTCCCACTGTAGCCGTTATACACTTCACTGATCTAAACCGAGAAAAAACCCACCTACCAGGTACCACCACCACATCCTATCTCTCCCATTTTTGTACGCTCAAACATACAGAATTTAATTTTTAAAAAAAGCTCTTCAGAAGATAATGCTGCTTTCTGTAGCTGAACCAGAAGCAGAGGATGAGGAGCTCAACCTGAATCTCCTGTTCAATGGCAATCTTTAAGCTTCCCATCCTCTTCTTCTTCCTCTTTATTGCCTTCGCCGAACTTCCCATTTCATCCGCAGGTAATGCCTGAGAACTCTTCTTCTTCCTCTTCTCTAATTTATCATTGCCTTGTTCTGAACTGCTCTCACTGGTTTTGCAGCTCGCCAAGACAACGAGCCATTTGTGGGTGTCAACATTGGTACTGACGTTTCGAATCTGCTTTCGCCATCGGACCTCGTCGACTTTCTTCGGCTTCAAAAGATAACCCATGTTCGGCTCTACGATGCCGACCCCAACATCCTCAGAGCCTTGGCCCGAACCGATATTCGGGTCGTCATCGGCGTGCCCAACAACCAGCTCCTCGCAATCGGATCCTCTCACGCCACCGCCTTCTCCTGGATCAGGCGAAACGTCGTCGCTTACTACCCCGCAACCCTTATCACAGGAATTTCCGTCGGTGACGAGGTTCTGAGTACTATACCTTCTTCGGCTCCTATTCTTCTCCCCGCAATTCAATCCCTCTATGATGCCCTCGTTGCTTCGAATCTCCATAACCAGATCAAGATTTCGACCCCTCACGCTGCCTCCATCGTTCTGGATCCTTTTCCTCCGTCGCAAGCTTTCTTCAATGAGAGCCTCGTCTCTGTCATCCTTCCTCTCCTTCAGTTTCTTTCCAAAACTGGGTCGCCGTTGATGATGAATTTGTACCCTTACTATGTGTTTATGCAGAACAGAAAGGTCGTTCCTCTGGACAATTCATTGTTTAAACCGTTGACGCCGTCCAAGGAAATGGTCGACCCCAATACTCTGCTTCACTACACCAATGTTCTGGACGCCATGATTGACGCTGCTTATTTCTCCATGAAGAACTTGAATGTCACAGACGTTTTGGTTTTGGTCACTGAAACAGGGTGGCCTTCCAAGGGCGATTCAAAAGAACCTTTCGCTACTAAAGACAACGCAGACACCTACAATTCCAACCTAATCAAACATGTTTTTGATCGTAGCGGTACCCCCTTACACCCAGAAACAACTTCAAGCGTGTATATATATGAGTTGTTCAACGAAGATTTGAGGTCTCCGCCGGTGTCGGAGGCGAATTGGGGCTTGTTTTATGGCAACACTACGCCGACTTATCTGCTTCATGTGTCGGGAATCGGGTCTTTTCTGGCGAACGATACGACGAACCAGACATACTGTGTGGCCATGGACGGGGTCGATTCAAAGACATTGCAGACGGCGCTGGATTGGGCATGTGGACCTGGAAGAGCAAATTGCTCGGAGATACAACCTGGGGAGAGTTGTTATTATCCAAACAATGTCAAGAATCACGCTTCTTATGCGTTTGATAGCTATTATCAGAATCAAGGCAAGAGTGCTGGGTCCTGTGACTTCAAAGGAGTCGCCATGATCACAACCACTAACCCCAGTAAGTGATACTGCAAATCTCAATCTATGTTCATTGAATTAGGCTATCAAACTTGATCCTCAGTCATAATGCCTTGTTAAATGCCACTTGAGAGCTGAGACTCTGCAGTTTAGGCATGAGTAATGATGACTCAGATACTCACTCATTGGCAAAATGAGTTGCTCTCGTGGGATAGACGTCAGATTTGTTTTTGCTCAATGTTGTTTAGTTCAAAAATTGAACAAAATCGAATCTTTTCTAAAAACTTGAGTCGTGTGCATTTGTTCGTAATTGATTTTACTTTGTTTTTTCGGGTTTAAAAAGCCATATGCTGTTAAAAGTTTATCAACTCGGAGTGGCGCTTAAGCTTGGCCCTACTGTGATGTGAATATAGAAAATAAGAGAAGACTGATAATTGCATTGTCTTGTTGGATGACACTAACAGAGATTCTGTACTGTGTTTTCTAGATTTCCTTCATTAGTTGTCAGATTTTATGATTTTAAATATTATTAGGTATCACTTTCTGGCAGTATTCTTGCTTCCAAACCTGATACAAGTATCAAATACGTATGCCTACCTTACATGAGATAATGAATCATAGCAAAATGGGCTCCACAGTTTTCAAATTTTTATGGTTTCCCATTCCTTGTTATCCCAGTTGCGACAAGTCTAGTAATGTTTGTTTCTTTTTTATAATTCTTCTGGGGACTATACCATTGCAGGTCACGGGAACTGTCTATTTCCTGGAAGGTGAGAATCAATTATTCTTATATAATGAATACGTAAATATATTATACTATGTGTAAGTAGAGTTTGTTTGTAAGGTAAATGGGGTGTGTTTTGTGATTGTATGTGATGCAGTAAAACTTTGACGAACAAGACAAAGCAAGTGGTGAACTCTACACAGTTGAGCAGTGGAGGAGATAGGATAAGGCTGAGAAGCTTCATGAGTATCAGAATGAGTGCTGTTATTAACGAAGGCTTGCACAATTTCTTGGCTTTTGCATTTCCCTCTATGTTGTTATTGTTGCTTTTGTAATGGTCGGCCAATCAGAGTGGCAAATAATTCAATTTCTTGTTTTTTTGGGGGCTAGTATAATTTTTGAGATGTTGGATTAATAAGGGAGGCAAAATCAAAAAAGTAGTGGGGATTTGTGGTTGTTATGTGGGTTAAACAGTTTTTTTTAGGTGGGGGTAGAGTCAGTAATTTGTGGCTGGGTTTTATTTATTAACTAACACTTGGATTTCTTTTTTAGTGTATTTGTCAATAGCTTATTTTGTAACAAGAGAAGAGGACAATAAAATGAAGAGGAGATTAATTTTCGGTTTAAAGTTTAAGACAATCTATGATGTAAGCAAATAATATGTAACATGATCATTGAGTTGGACTTCGATGGGTATGATTTTAATTGATACCATATAATAAGAATATTTCCTTTTAATTTTTTTTTGGGTCTACTATCATTTTAAGTTTACTTCTATAATATAATGCTTAAATTGTAGGTATAGATTTACGGAACAATATAATTTTTAGTTCCTTAAATTTATATTTTTTAAATTTAATTTTTTATCAATTTGGTTATTTATGTTTTATTAGATAATTAAGTTTGTCCTTTAAGTTTTAAAAAATATATATATTCTCAAATTAATTTAATATATAAAATATTTTGTTGACTTGATATGTGTATGAAGTTAAATAAGAATATGTTAACCTCTAAATCAATTTAATTTTATTAATATAGTCTCTTACATTAACATGTCTTTTTATTAATAAAAACGGACAATGAGAATCAAGAAGAAAATCCAAACTGTACTAATTGGCAAAAAGCCCTATTGAGCAAGGTGAAAAAAAAAAGAAAAAAAACCCTAAACGGGTAGCTTCTGAGCCAAGGCAGCTTGAAAATTACTACGAATGAAAACTCGAAGCATAGCCAGATCCTTTATCGAAGTAGCTGTCTATTGGACCGGAGGTCTAGCCTTCTTGAGGGTTGAAGCTAGTTCTCTTATTTAGGACTAGGATTTTCTAGAAGGTCTAGACGAGTTCAATTTAAATTCTAATGAAAGAAAGTTTCTTTTAAAGGATGATGATTGGAGATTACTCTAATTTTAACTTGAGATTAGGATAGCTCATGCATCCAACATGTTTAACACTAGATTTTGCAACTCAAATACAACAAATTAGTTGTCATTTGGAAGCCAAACGAACACCTGGTATTCAAGGCTAACATTGGTCACTAATATCACAATACCAAAAAACAAAAATATACACCAAGATTCACAATACAAACTCTAAATCAGTATGATAGTCCTGCTCCATCTAGCAGCTTGTCTATGTGACTTTTTAATCTGATAAACATTAAGTATAGGTTCAGTCTATTTGCAAAAGTAGTCGGCAGATATAAATTCAATAATAAAAATGGAAGCACTAGATGTTATTTGGGGATTTATCTATCATAAGAAGAGTGATTGAGTAACACAGCATTAATGAACATATAATACAAGCAAGTCATTTTAATAAAACTCATCATAAAAGAAAAAAGAAGTAACAATTTTAGATGACACAATATAATTACCGTGGATTGATAATAATTAAATTAGGCCAATTTAATATAGACTCAATAAACACACACCCACCCACATACATGATAATGTTTTTTTGTATATTTTTTAGGTTTTTTGAACAAGTTTTTATTTAGTGTACATCAAATTGTAGGAGCTTGAATTATAAAAACATCTGATGAAACTCTACCTTAGCATAAATGTATTCCAAATCACATTTTCTTAAATGTTTTATGAAAAATTGAGGCTAGTTATTTTGTTAATTTCATAAAATTTTTAATTTAATTGTAGGATAATGAGAATCTAGAAGAGAATACAAACTATTGTAACTAGCAAAAGGCTCTACTTAAGAAATATAGACTCACTAGGGAGTGGGCTACCAAAAAAAAAACTTGAAAAGGTAGCTTCTAAGTCAAGGCAACTTGAAAGCTACTATGAATTAAACCCAAAAGCATGGTCAGATCCTCTACTAGAGCATCCACCTCCTAAATTGAAAGCAAGAGACCAACCACCTGCTTGACTGAAGGTTGAGAGCCTCCTCAAAGGATCACACCCAGTCCTCTTATTCCAAACTTGAATTTCCTCAAAGATCTATAGGAGGACAATTTATATTATAATGAAGGAATGTGTCTTTTTAAAAGTGATGATTGAAGATTATAGATACTCCAATTTTAACTTAAGGTTAGGACAGCTCACACATCTAATGGGTTCAACACCAAATTTTGCAACTTAAATATAGTAAATTAGTCGTAATTTTGAAACCAAATTGAAAACCTTGTATTTAAGGCTAACATTGGTCACAAAAAATCTCAAGATTCATAGCACAAACTATAAACTAATATGCTACTCTACCCCATTTAACATCCCATATGTATGGCATTTTAGTCTAATATACATTAAGTATAGGTTCAGTCCATTTGTAGGAGTAGCTAATGGACACAAATTCAACAATATGAATGGAAGGTATATTAGATGTTATTTTTGGATTTATCTAATAGAAGAAGAGTAACAAAGGGTTGACAGACATCTAACACAAGCAAGTCATTTTATTAATATAAATCATAAAATGAAAAAAAAAAGTAACAAGTTTAAATAACACAATATAGTTAACTTATACTAGTAATAATTAAATTGGATTCTGATACCAAATTAATATGGACTTTATAAATAAATTTATGGTATATTTTGTTGTATATTTTCTAGGTTTTTTGGAACAAGTTTTATTTAGTCCACATCAAATTGTTATTAGAGACTAGTTGCTTAGTTGATTTCATAATAATATTTTAATATATTAGGTTAAATTTTCAATCCCCTGCCTTTGATTTGGCTGCTGCAACATTTGCCTTAAAAATCTTTAATAAAGCTTGGCTTAGCAATTACATCACATGTGAAGGTTCATTTATGATCAACACAGCAAGGTAGGCATCCAACAAAAAAGTAGAAATGTGTCTTACATTGTTCTTGAGAATCATTTAAATTTGAAATTGTGTTGTAAATAGGTTGATTGTTGCCTAAAAGCTTCTAAAACCTATACGAGATATACATGGATGGTAGCGGTAGAAGATTGAGTGATTTTAATGATAAGATTCTTTTGTATATTATTTGCTTTGTTTCTCCAAAAATAATGATATTTATGGATATCAATTCTCATGCTTCATTTCACCTAAGATTTTAAAACCACACATAACTTGATCAATTTTATGGAATAGGCTCTCTCACTTCCAATACCTTCTAGAAGTATCTAGTTTAAACTTGTACGCCACATGGATAATTCATGTATTGTTGAAACACTAATTTCTACAGGTCATGTCGAAGGGTGTGAACTCTTAATGTTAACTCATTTACATGTTGAATTAACTTATAAGAGCCTTATAGATACACTACTCTCTTCTCCATTTATCTCGTCAAACTTAAAGATGTTGAAGTTCTATCAAGTCGTCTTCTTTTATAAGCATTCAACTCAAAATCTTTTTCTTACATGCCGTGTTCTTGAGCATCTACATTTAGAAGATTGTATATGGAACAGTGTCAAGACATCTATGAAGCTAATTATAGATGCAACAAATTATCCAATTCCAAATGTTTTGAATAGCTCTAATTAGTTTGTAATTCATAAGAATGATATCAAACAATTCAATTATAGTGGTTAGTTTTACGTTGATTATTACATCTTGAATTTTGCATTGTTGGAAGAGGTGACCATTAATGTTGAGATTTAGCCTCATAACATTATTCCCAATTGGAATCAAGATCAATACTTTCATGACAATTGGTATCGCAATTGTGACTTTGTTTTCAAATCATAATGAAGCTTCTAAGAAGGATCTTTCATGCTCATAAGTTGATATTTGAGGATATTACTATCATGGTAAGATTTAACTCGATTATTTTGCTGATCCAAATAATTTAAATTCTCGTTTGGATTCTAACTATAATCCATTTTTCTCATCCTTTCTCAATCCAAACAACTTATTAAAAAATCATCTTCCCCTTACTTCTTTTGGATCTAAACAACTCATATAAATAATTAAATATTATATTCCCTCCTACATCAATAACTAAAAAAATATTTAAATAAATATTTTATATTTTAAAATAAAAAATATTTAAAAAAGTGTAGTTTAAAATATTAATATTTAATTCAATATTTCACAATTGTAATAGTCCAATTAAATAATTATCTTTAAAAAGTGGAGGAGCTCTGATACCACTATTAAAATTCTGACATCACTTATTAAATTTTATTATAATTCCCTTGAAAAATATTTTAAAAAAAGTCATGCTTTATAACAGATGCAAGAGAAAGAAAGGAAAAAGTGAAAAAACCAATTAATAAGTAGAGTATCATTTCTGAAAAAAGTGAATTCTCATTGTCATCTATTTTTTTAAATTAAATTAAAAAATTATAAAATTAACCAAACAAGCTAATTTTTAAATGTATATGATATCAAATAGTTAAGTTCAAGAGTAGTTCATAACACTTGTTACATATCCCAACTTTTTCACATCATGCGTAAAACCTAGATTTAAAAATTTTATTCTATATTTATTAAAGTAAAATTTACAATTTTTTAATAAATAGTTTATCATTAATGGAGGTAGTATAAATTTAAATAGAAACTTGATTTTAAATAGAAACTATCTTGTTTTTTTTTTTTGGTCTTGGATAGAAAATATTACATATTTGATTTTTTAAAATTAATTTAATAATAAGATGGTTTCTATTCAAACACAAATTCACAAAAATATTCATCTTTTTTAATTTAAAAAACTAGCATTCAATTTCTGTGAAAGAAATTATAGATTAAATAATAAAAATATAGATGAATGTAGTTTAGGGAAAATAATGACTAGATTCATATATATATATATATATATATATATATATATATTATAAGTTGGCATAGGTGATGAGCTTCCAATGGATACATATATAAGATTTTTTTTATTTTTTCCTTCTTTTATTTGCAATTCAAACTCTAAAAAATCTTCAAGAGTCTTCCTTTCATTTGCCATATGCCACGCCAATACAACTAATATTAAAGTTTGTCATGCAGAAAAATAAATTCAATACAAATTTAAAAGTTTCTATTTCAAAAGAATAAGGTAAGAAGAATGCAATACTCACATGACTAAAAATTAATCAATCCCACTTTGTTGAAGTCCTTCTTGATAACTTAAAGGACTTCTTGTAACTTCTAGTATTAGCTGTATTTTTTGGTTTATTGCAGTCTTGGCCAAAAAAAAAAACAATCTTCTTTAATATCATTATGTTTGATATCGTGCATATGCTCACTTTGTAGTTTAATATCTTCTTATGGAGTTTGGCCAATCAAACTCAAAATTCTTACTTAGTAGCTTAATTTCTTTTATGATTGATATTGTCTATAAAAATAAAAAAAAATCAATTAACATTTATTAAATGAATCACCTTTAAAAATATATTTTCTCTTATAGGAAACTTCTCATTTTATACGTTGAGACAAAATAAAAAAATTAAAAGAAAGCAATTAATAATTTATTTTTTATGAAAAATCATTAATTTTGTTTAAAAAATATTTCCTTCTATCCTTAATAAGAGACAACTTTTGAAGAATTTTATTAGTTTTTAATATAAAATAAAGTTAAATTAATTAATATTTTTTCAATTTTATCCTTATTTATTCATTATCATCCAAATTCAAACATAGATAAACAATTCATTATGATGATTAATTAAAAATATGGATAAAATTAGAAAGTTATATATTTTATAACAATTTTAAATGTATAATTATTATTTCTTAATAAATGTGATATTAAGGATTGGGGGCAGTAATTTATACTCCCTCCCATGCTATTTACAAAACAAATATAGAAGATTTTTTTATTTTATTTATAAATTACATCATTAATTTTTTATTACAAATTTCTCATTTTACCATCTATTAAATGTTGGTGAGAAAAATATATTATTAAAGTATGTATATTTAGTAGGAATAAAATTAAAATTTTATTAAATTTTTAAATAGAGTTAGTAAATTTTAAAATTTTTTTAAATTTTAATGAAACATGTAGAAATAACTTATAAGTAAAAATAAAAAAGTAATACCACCATTCCAAATTATAAAGGGAGATTTGACGTCTCAAAATATGAAATATTTTAATAAAAATAAGATGTTATTAAAGATATTTGTTCAATATTTCCTTTTCATGTATTATCTCTCCTTAATATTATTTAACAAATGAAATATTAAATGAAAAGTATTTTTGAGAGTTTGTATTTTTGTTTTAGAAAAATAGGATTGTAAAGTGTATTTAATAAATTTTATTAATATGAGTGATTTTATTTAAAATTATATTATGATTTAGGATGAAGAGAGTAGTATATAAGATGGAAGCAAAGCTAGTAACTAGAATACATTGATGCAAATCATTAAAAAAAAAAAAACGTAAAAATGCTTTGTGACAAGCTCCAAGCTTCAATGTTATCTTAAATAAATAGAGCTAATTAGTTAGTTTTTCTATTTTTCCCATGAAGACAAGAACCTCATGACAATGATTATTATAAGTGTAACTAATCACGTGAAACTCGAACTATATTCTATGTTTATCCCCATAATTTATCACTAATTGTTTTTTTCTCATTCATATTAATATTTATTACTTCCTATTTCTGTTTACAAGACCTTATTGATTACTTTCCTAAAATTAAGGAAATTAATTTAAATTAGTTACTACCCCCATTTTTAAATGTAAGAGAATTGTAACTAACTCACAATTTGAAAAAGTTAATTAATTTTGATAATTATATCTCCTAATAATTATGTCTGAAATTAAAATGTTTGGATGAAAATATCCTTGTAATTAATATTTTATTTTTCTCTATTTTAATTATATTATCCATTTATGAGGGACAATTTAAAAAAATAATTAATACTTCTTGAAATTTTAATTTTATTTATAATAAAAAACAATAAAACATATGATAATTACTCTTATATTTATAAAAAAGAGGGAGTGATGTTAAAAATTTTTACAATTTTTCAACATCATCTTTACTCAAGTTATATCCATCAAATGTTCCATGAAAATTTATTAAATGTCTTATATCAAGAGCTAATAATAAGCTGAGTTTTATAAAAAGAAAAAAGTAGTATAATGCGCTGCTTTTCCCTACTTTTCTTCCATTATATAAGTTGAATTTTGTTAAATGTGATCAATTTGTTTAAAAATATATGACATTTTTTGAGGAATTGAATGTTAAAAAATGTAAGGTATTTTATTCTTTTAATGTATAATCATTATCCTTTTTTTAAAATATCTCTATTGATGAATGATTTTATATTTATTATAAAGTATTTAATAGGAGTAAATATAAAAATATTTAATTAGTTTGAAAGTAGGTAACTACTTTATTAGAATGTAAAATTTAATTAACAATATCTTATATTTTTTAATGGAGGGAGTATCATTTTTAAAAATATATATTTCTTTCATATTAAAAGAAAGCAATAAATAATTTATCTTTTATAAAAAAAATCATTAATTTTGTATAAAAATATTTCATTCGGTCCTTAATACAAAATAAATTTTGAAGATCCTTTTAAATTTTTAATATAAGAGAGTGTTAGAGTAATTATTTTTTTTTCAATTTTACTTTGTAAAGAAGGGCAAAATTATACAGTTATGTGTCTTAACAATTTTAATTATTTAAATTCCATTTATTAATTAAAATAATATTAAATATTGGATATAATAAATTTATTAAAATTTTAAAAAATAATTACATGTTAAATATATAACTAATTACATGGTGGTAAGTTTATTATTTTAATTATTTTCATAGTTAAAATAATTAACTAATTAAAGTTTTAATACCTATGAAAATATTTACTTAATATTAACTGTTAAAATAATTAAAATTCCAGTTAATAAATTAAAGTAAACTTTAAAACTTATTAATTTTATCTAGAAATTTTATGTAAAAATATAAATTACTTATTATATAAAAGTATATAACTAAAAAAGTTACTAGAATACCTCGTGACAAATCACTATAAAAGTAAAAATTCTTTCAGACAAGCTTTTCTGACGGAAATTCCAAACTTCCATGTTATAATAATTAAATAGAGCTAATTATTGTAATTAGTTAGTTTTCCGGTTCGTCCCATGAAGACAAGGATCCTGATGACGAAGATTATTGAAAAAATATCAATAAAGACCCCTTGATTAAATTTATTTTCAATTAAAGCCTCTAAATTTTTGAAATATCACTACAATTTAAGAATTTTAATTTGATATTAAATTTTTAAGAGAAATAAAAAAATTAACCCTCATTTAAATTAATGTAAAAAATAGCTTATTTTACTTGTTCATTATCCTATTTTACTAATCCATTTAATTATAAAATATTATTATTTCATTTACTTACGGAATGTTATTATTTATCGTACTTCACTTGGTTTTATTTTAGGTGTTTAAATGGTCTAAAGACAACTTGTTGGTAAATGAACAATTAAAATATGACAGTTTTAATATTAATTTAAATAAAAGACAATTCTGTTATTTTTTTAAAAAAATTAATATCAAATTAAAACTTTTAAATTGCAGTGATATTTTAGAAATTCATGGGCTTTGGTTTAAAATAAGTCTGATCAAGAGGTTTTTATTGGTATTTTTCCAAGATTGTTAGCATAACTGACCGTGTCATAACATGACTGATCACGTGAAACCCGGATAACATTCTATGTTTATCCCCATCATTTGTCACTAATTAACTGCGAAATGTCAGTTGCGCATAAGCCACACACTTCATTAACTCCATGGAATCACACTAAACACCACCATCCGTGAACATGGAGACCTGTGCCCATTTTTCACAGGTACTGTTCTTTCCCCAAATTATTTAATCGCATAACATTAATTAGTGTGGTCCTTTGCCTTGAAAAATAATCATACAAATTGATCAACAATCACATTACATTAGCATGTGACTGATCCTTTACCTGAAGAACCCACAGCCAACTCCTCTCATTATATTTCTCATTCTATACCCTGCTCTCTTTTTCCCAAACAAAACCACTGCGCACTTTCTCTGCACTAAAAACATAAACAAAAGTTGGAGTTTTTCAAGGCACATACAAATTAAGCTTCAGCCTTTTATAGCTCTGGGAGTGACAACGATTAAGAGTGTGACATATCTTTATTTAGTTTCATATTTTGCTCAAACTTCATACCTATTTGCCCAGGCAGTTGAAGTTCAGCTAAAGTTCTTCCCTCATCCCTTCGCGTTTCATGCACATAGAAAAGAAATGTTCGCATTCACAATGATGAGAGCTAGCAATGCCATTACTTTTCTCGTTCTTGCTTTATTACTTGTCGATGGCGTCCACTGTGAAGACCCATATAGATTCCTCACTTGGAGGATCACGTACGGCGATATCCACCCTCTGGGTGCGAAGCAACAGGCCAGCACCTGCATTGCTCTGTCTCTTTCATTTGCTTTCTGTCAAGAAAGAAACGTTTTTTTTTTCCCCTTGTCATCCGTGCTGAACAGATTGATGATGGTATTCTATATATTTTTGAAATATCTGGGATTCAAAGTGGTTGTGCCTTTTTGTTTGAATCTTGCAGGGGATCTTGATTAATGGCCAATTCCCAGGGCCTCAAATAGACGCCGTCACAAATGATAACTTGATCATCCGCGTCCACAACTACCTCAGAGAACCATTCCTCATTTCATGGTACCTCACATATTGCTGCAGTACCTCATTTCTAGAAACAGAGCTTTCTGCAATACCCTGTTTTATCCTTCCCAAAAACGCACCGATTCTGTGTTTATGGCATACGAGTGAATAATTAATGAATTGATTGAAAGTTGTGCAGGAATGGGTTACAGCATAGGAGGAACTCGTGGGAGGATGGTGTTGATGGAACAAACTGTCCAATTCCACCAGGGAAGAACTTCACTTACATTATGAGAATTAAAGATCAGATAGGCAGCTTCTTCTACTTCCCATCTCTGCAAATGCACAAAGCTGCTGGAGGGTTCGGAAGCATCAGAATCTGGTCCCGTCCCAGGATTCCTGTCCCATTCCCTCCTCCGTCAGGCGACTTCACCATACTAGCTGGAGATTGGTTCAAGAGAGACCACCATGTTCATGACCAAACACACCTTTTGCATTATTTCTCTCTTCTTCCTCTTCCATGCCTGATACTTCACTATTCTGAAATGTTTCTTTCTGCTATATATATATATATATATATATTGTAGAGACTAAGGAGAATGCTAGAGAATGGCCATAACCTTCCCTTCCCTGATGGGTTGCTTATCAATGGACGTGGGTGGAATGAAAACACATTCACTGTTGATCAAGGTGGGATTACACATTAACTGCAAGTGATGATATACACAGACAATCACCCTCACATATTATGTTGAATATGGGATGTGTAGGGAAGACATATAGGTTCAGGATATCAAACGTGGGGCTGACAACGTCTGTAAACTTGAGAATCCAAGGGCACAAGATGACGCTTGTGGAGGTTGAAGGGACTCATACAATCCAGCAGATCTATTCTTCACTTGACATCCATTTAGGGCAGTCCTGCTCAGTTCTGGTGACGGCTGACCAATCTGCCCGAGACTACTACATAGCCGTGTCTACCAGATTTACAAGGAGGCTACTCAAAAATACAGCCATTCTTCACTACAGCAATTCACTTACTAGGCCATCTGGTCCTTTTCCTCCAGGACCTACCCTTGATATTGCTTCTTCTCTCTCTCAGGCCTTGACTATCAGGTACTCAACTCCTCAAAAACTACTTTTGCATTTTTATTAGCTTGCTTGTTCCGAACTTAATGTCCACTAACACTACCATGTGTACAACTGTGTTTTGTGATTTTGGAGCATTCGAAACGATGCATGAATGGTTATTGCTCTATGAACTAAAAGAAAACGATCGAATTTTAATTAAAGATTTTGAGTTTTCATTCGCTATTATATTTTCCAGCTGCATGGCTAGTTAATGGCGGGTTATCCTTCCCTGGTTGGCAACATAATGGGCCTAACATTTGACTTAGTCAACCTTAAATTCAAACCGATCTCATTAGGCTCTCTATTTTCAGATCAAGTCAGGTTAGTATAGTCCAAATCAACAAGAAAATTTCTTAATGAAGTTCTAAATGATTAATAACTATGGTTTAGGCTCCTTAGTTTAAGCCCGACCCATCTCTACTCTCAATAGCGTATCTTTCCCACAAAAGGTTTTTAAACATCTAAGCTTATTTTTTTAATATTTAAACCTGGCTTACATTTGTAAAAAAATTAATTGCATAAAACTAAAAAAAAAAAAAACAGTCAGATTGTTCAGGACCCTCTTTGCATTTAAAAGTTTATTATTAATATTGATAATTATACAAGAGTTACTTCTATAGCCTTTCTTTTTGGCCATATATTAATCCAGGATTTTGAAAGTACTTTTTTTTTTGGAGTTAATTTTAAAAAGAAATGAAGATGGAATTTGTGGAGTTGCGCTGCAGCACAGGAGCTTGCGGCTTGTCTCCCTTTATAATTTATCCTTTGTTTGTCCCCTTCTCTGACACGGTGACGGAACCAGGCAAAACCTGACGGCAAGTGGGCCGAGACCAAACCCACAAGGTTCATACCACTATGGTCTGATCAAACCCACTCGAACCATCGTCTTCGCTAACTCTGCTCCTCACATCAACGGCAAGCAGAGGTTTGCCGTTAACGGCGTGTCCTACATCTCACCGGACACCCCTCTCAAGGTGGCTGACTACTTCAACATTCCCGGCGTTTTCTCCGTCGGAAGCATCCCCTCCTACTCCACTGCCGGCGGGAACGCCTACCTCCAAACTTCAGTTTTGGGTGCTAACTACCACGAGTTCGTGGAAATCGTGCTCCAGAACTGGGAGAACTCCATCCAGTCGTGGCACTTCGATGGCTATTCCTTCTTCGTTGTCGGGTACGTATAACGTAAACGCTTCCATGTTTCGCCTTCTGCACAGTGATCTGTAGGAAAATGTCAGACATTTTTATGAGCAATTGATGAATACACAGGTTCGGTGGGGGGCAGTGGACAGCTGCAAGCAGAGCAAGCTACAATCTGAGAGACGCTGTTGCTAGATGCACCACTCAGGTGAACTTCATTTGTGTACTGCTATTGTATCGTATTAATTGCATTGGTGGCTTATTGTGTTCGGGTGGTGGATATGATCAGGTGTACCCGAGATCATGGACGGCGATCTACGTGGCACTGGACAACGTGGGGATGTGGAACATAAGATCAGAGGATTGGGGGAGGCAGTACTTGGGACAACAATTGTACGTGAGAGTGTACACATCATCTCACTCGTGGAGGGACGAATATCCAATCCCAAAGAACGCTCTTCTGTGTGGGAGGGCAAGAGGTCGTCACACTAGGCCTTTATAATTTAGCGTAGACGCATCATTAAATAAGCACTCTGCTGTGAGTGAGAGAGAGAGAGAGAGAGAGCTCATCTTGACCTTCGTGCTTATTACTCGTAAATGTCTGTCTCCAAATTTTAGTTGGATGATAATGCGGCGGCTACTATTTTGTGATTGTGTCAATGAACCACTTTTCACCTCATCGAATATTCAGAAATCAGATCGTTGAATTAAAAATGTTCTTGTCTAACAATAAAAATCTCCACCACAACATATAGCATCATCTAAAAATTAAAAGATTAAGATTAAAATTCAAATATTAAGATATCAACTAATTTTTTTAAAGAAAATCATAAAGTTGTCATTGATATCCTATATTATGATCTAGAAAGGGTATAAAATATTAATTCAAATATTAACAACTTTAATGTGTTGAGATTACTCAAATAACTCCACCTATATTTATAACCGGTCCCAAGCCCGGGTAAAGGAGGAGGGTTGTGTTAAGCCATCAACAGCCAATGTAAAAATTTGTTGAATCTATCATGAACATGGACAATAGACGTTATAATGTTAATGCTAGGTCATTGCCCGTAAGTAACGCGTTGCATGGCTCGAGTACAATGATAAGTGAGTTAGAGCCGCTGCATCGGCGCCCGGATGTAGTGTTAAATGAGCAAGGGCTACCGCGTCATTCTGGACGCACGCGGCTAAAGAAGTTAGTCCATAAGAGCAAAATTAGATTTGGTACTTGGAATGTTGGGACATTAAATTGTAAATCTGTAGAGGTTGTAGGGGTTATGATTCAAAGGAAAATCAATATCCTTTGCTTGCAAGAAACAAAATGGCGTGGAGAAGAAGCTAAGGATATTCAAGGTTTCAAACTTTGGTATACAGGAAAAGTAAGTGCACGCAATGGAGTAGGCATCATTATAGATAAGGAGTGGAAGAAGAACGTTGTAGAAGTTAGTAGAATTGGAGACAGAATTATTTCTTTAAAAATGATAATTGGACGTGAGACTGTTAATATTGTTAGCGCTTATGCGCCGCAAGTCGGGACAGAAGCCAGTCTTAAGGAATTATTTTGGGAGGATCTAGAGGGGTTGATTCGACACATACCACAGAGTGAAAAGATTTTTATTGGAGGAGACTTTAATGGGCATGTTGGGAGGGAAGCTAGTCAGTATGCGAGGGTGCATGGTGGTTTTGGTTTTGGAGAGCTAAACAATGAAGGACAAACTCTTCTTGATTTCTCATTGGCGTATGATTTTAAGATTGCCAACACTTGTTTCAAGAAGAGAAATGAGCATCTCATCACTTACAAAAGTGGAGCCTCAAGGTCACAGATTAATTTTCTTTTGGTTAGGAACACAGATAGAAGACTTTGTAAAGATTGTAAGGTAATCCCCAGAGATGCTGTAACGACACAACATAGGGTCCTAGTCCTTGATGTGTGTATTATGAGTAAAATTCAAAAACGTCGACAAGTAGTAACACCAAGGATTAGGTGGTGGCAATTAAAAGGTGAGAAACAAGATATTTTCAAGCGAAATCTTTTGGATAAAGGAATTTGGGATTCTCAGGGAAGTGCTAACATCATATGAGAGGATATGGTTAAAAAGATACGGGAGGTTGCAAAAGTAGTTTTGGGAGAATCGAAAGGTTCTGGTCCGAGAGATAAGGAGTCTTGGTGGTGGAATAATAGTGTACAGGACAAAATCAAGTATAAGAAGAATTGTTTTAAAGCCATACATTTGTGTAACAATGAGGAAAATCGGGAGAGGTACCGTATGGTTAAGAAGGAAACTAAGAGAGCTGTGGTGAAGTTCGTTCTAAAGCTTTTGAAGAATTTTATAAGAACCTTGAGACGAAGGAAGGAGAGCAAAATATTTATAAGATTGTCAAGAGTAGGGAAAAAAAATTAAGAGATCTAGAACAGGTAAGGTGTATTAAGGATGAAGAGGGAAGAATTTTAGTTATAGATGATGAAATTAAAAATAGATGGGAGACTTATTTTTCTAAACTTTTCAATGATGGAGAGGATTCATCTAGTAACTTGAAGGATTTAGTAACTGGTGAAGGAGAACAAAATTTGTCATTCTATCGAATAATACGTGATAAGGAGGTAAAGGAAGCTCTTAAGAAAATGGCAAATGGTAGAGCCAACGGACCTGATTGTATATCTATCGAAGCGTGGAAATGTTTAGGTGAAGAAGGGATGAGATGGTTAACTAAGTTATTTAATGTGATTTTACGGTCCAAGAAAATGCCTGATGAGTGGAGGAGAAGTACATTAATTCTTATTTATAAAAATAAAGGAGATATTCAGAATTGTACTAACTATAGAGGGATTAAACTCATAAGCCACATAATGAAATTGTGGGAGAAAGTAATTGAGCACAGGTTGAGATTGGAGACAAGTATTTCTGAGAATCAATTTGGTTTTATGTCAGGTAGATCAACTACAGAGGCGATTTATCTATTAGGGGGATTAATGAAAAAGTATCGTTGTAAAGATAAAGATCTACACATGGTTTTTATTGATTTGGAAAAAGCTTATGACCGTATACCAAGAGAAGTGCTTTGAAAAGCGTTGGAAAAAAAGGGAGTACGGATTGCTTATATTAAAGCCATACAAGATATGTATGAGGGGGTAAAAACTAGTATAAGAACGCCTAGTGGTCAAACAAAGATTTTTCTATAAAGATTGGACTACATCAGGGATCATCTCTGAGTCCTTATTTGTTCAACTTGATTTTAAATGTTTTGACGGAACATATTCAAGAGGAAATCCCGAAATGTATGCTCTTCGCGGATGATATAGTTCTCATAGCAAGACAAGAGAAGAGGTTAATTGCAAACTTGAGTTATGGAGGAGGACATTAGAGTCGAAAGGTTTTCGTCTGAGTAGAAGTAAGACGGAATATTTATATTGTAAATTTGGTAAAGGACTATTCGACAATAATTTGGAAGTGAAATTGGGAGATCAAATTATACCTCAACTGGAAAAGTTTAGATATTTGGGAGCCATTATTCAAAATGATGGCGAAATCAGTGGAGATATTTCACATAGAATTCAAGCTGGGTGGTTTAATTGGAGAAAAGCTAAAGGAGTTATTTGTGACCGTAAGGTGCCTAATAAACTTAAAGGAAAGTTTTATCGCACTGCTATCAGACCGGCAATGTTATATAGTAGTGAATGCTGGGCTCTAACGGGACAGCAAGAGCATAAAGTTGGAGTAGCAGAGATGAGAATGTTACGATGGATGTGCGAACATACACGTAAAGATAAAATTCGAAATGAGCACGTACGCGAAAAAGTGAGGGTGGCACCTATTGAGAAAAAAATGGTAGAAAATCGGTTGAGATGGTTTGGGCATGTACAAAGAAGACCAAGGGAGGCACCAGTGAGAAGAGTGGAACATATAACTTTGAGTCCGATTAAGAGAGGTAGAGGAAGGCCTAAGAGAACACTCTTGGAAGTTGTTGAACGCGATCTCTTAATTAATAATATTCCTAAAAGCTTGATAAATGATAGAGCACAATGGCGTCTTGTAATCCATGTAGCCGACCCCACCTAGTGGGATAAAGGCTTGTTGTTGTTGTTGTTGTTGAGATTACTCAATATACTCCTCTAATCTTATTTATAAAGTAGATGGAGAAAATTAATTTTAATCTTATTTATAGAATATTTAATTATTTTATATGTTCATTTTTAACTTCCTACCTATAAGGAAAAATATTTTAAAAAGGTTCTCATCGTCCCTATTAAGAGATACAGTTAAAAATTTATTAAATTTTGTAACAAAATTCACAAAATTTAAAGTTTTTTTATTTCAATACAATATATTGTTAAAAGCAGTTTATAAATAGAATCAAAGAAGTACATTTTTAATAACTAACATATCTTATTATAATGTCAGCAATATTATCATAAAATTTATCACTGAACTGAATGGCACAAATTTTTTGTGCATAACAAAGAAATGTTGTTAACCCGTTCAAGTTGGTGTGCTATTTCTTTCAGTTATAAGTTATTTTTAATATTTAAAAAAATTATAACCTTAATTAATTCTATATAAAATTTAATAAATTTTTAACTTTTCCTGTATTAAACATATATACTTTACAAATAAAATACTTCATCATTTCACAGTCGTCACAATATTTAATAGAGGCAAAAGGATAAAAATAAATACAAAAATTATAGATATGCCTTATAATTAAATATAATCAAAACAAATAATCTCTCCTACCCTATACTACAGGAGTATTTTAGTTAGTGTTAGGGGAAAAAAAACATAAACATCAACCCACTTGAGTTGTTCAACTTACTAGATTAATTGGGTTAATCCGACTCACGCTCTCAGGTCACAATTCATTAAAAAAAAAAGAAAAAAAATAATATTTTAATCCTTCAACTTTTAACTTATTTATAACTCAATTCCTCAACTATGACTTACAACGACTCAATTTTTTTAACTATAACTCGTATATGACTCAGCCCCTTAACTTTTGACTCACTTTTAATCTAACCTCTCAACTTTTGTTTAGCTCCATTTTTTTATGTTAATTTAGATTCCATATCAAAGAGCAAGAGAAGAGTATTTTAAAGCAAAATATGAACATTTCTTTTATTCATTTTATTTGACAAGGAAATTTTTTTTAAAAATATTTAAAAATAAGGACCCAGTTATAAGTAAGATAAAAGTTGAGGATTGAATCGTAGCGAGTAATACTGAAGGACTGAGTTTAAATAAGTTATAGTTGAGGGATTAAGTTACAAGTTAAAAGTTAAGGATTAAAAATTAATTTTTTCAAAAAAAAATCCAAACCTGGGCCACCACTTCAACGGATTGAGTCAGTCCCATTTCAATACTATATTTCTTTTTGTCTTTACTATAAAATACTTTTAATTATTTTATTGAAATTAAAAATAGATAGTTATGTTATTAATTTTATTTGAAAATTTTAATTATTTTATGAAATTAAAAATAGATAGTTATGTTATTAATTTTATTTGAAAATAGAATAAATTTTTTATTTTATTTCTATTAAAATTTTCATGTTTACATTCCATTATGTTTTATAATTAACAAGTCTTAATAATGATAATTTAAAAAGCATAATTGATAACTTAAAAAAGCATAATTAATATCTCATCATGTATCTTATATTAAAAATAAAAAAAATATTTAAAAA